AATATCGATATATATCGCGATATCGATATTATCCTACAGCCCTAATATCCTCTTAGCTCTGTTAGCTCAGTTAGCTTGGCTAGCTCTATTAGCATGGTTAGCTGAGTTTGCTTATTGTAAAAATAATAAAAATGGCTCTGCAGTCTTAGACTGTTTATTTCAAGTCAAATCTTGGATGGAATCAAACTTTCTTCATCTTAGCGAAAATAAAAGTTTTGGACTTTTTTATGGGGACAGAATAATTTTTATGCTAGAAGTGAAACGGTTCTTGGTAGCTTCTCTCCATTTCACCAGTCAGCTGGGTTAGGGTTGCTGTTGGCTCTGAGCCATTTGGATACATGACTTTTTTATTTAGCCAAGTTTCTGCTTCTGTTTTAAGGGTTTGAGAAAAATGTTCATGTTTTTATCACAACCTGTTTGGATAACTGTAGCTCTTTATTTGAGGATTTGCTGTCTTATTTCAGGTCTGATTGACTCTTAAACAGTTTCAAGGTGCTTCTTAACGTCATTTTTACTCACTGAAGTCTCTGATTTATTGTAATATTGGAACTTATTTATTTCGTTTCTTAAAAATAGTTTATTTATGGACTTCTGTCGAGCACTTTGGTGCAACTTCAACTTTATAAACTAAATGTTTATAAAGAAATGTGACATTGACCTGTCCCTCCTCACCTGTCTGTCCTGTCTTCTCCCTGTAGGTGTCAGCGGCTCTCAGAAGGCGTCCACCTTTGGGTTTAACTCCACCCATGTGGACACAAGCTCCGCCCCCAGTGATGATGTCATTGACCCTGAAGCCCCCATGTCCTCCCCTTTGTCCCCCAGTAAGACGCCCCCCCCCCTTCCTGAGAAGAAGCGACACAGTGAGTGAAAACGGAGCAGCTGATTGGTGGAAGTTTGAAAATCCTTTAAATCAATCAAATTTTATCTGTAAAGAACATAAATTCATGCAACATAGAATCAACAATTGAAACGTTTTGCTGAGAGGCGTCATTAAATTATGTTTCCATAGCAACTCCATCCAGCTGGGTTTAGCCTGAAAAGACCTTAGGGTTTCAGCAGTTTTTCAGTTTTCTGTAAGTTTGTTCCAGATCTGTGGAACATAGAAGCTGAAAGCTGCTTCTCCATGTTTGGTTCTGATGCAGAGCAGAACCAGAACCAGCAGGTTGATCCAGCAGCAGCAGATCTTTAATCCGTTCAGTGATTTATAAACTACTATATAGAACCGGGTGGTGTCTCTACCCTCCTGGTTCTAGTCAGATCTCCAGCTGCAGCTTCTGGTCTGTCAGTCTGACCTGCTGCAGGAATCAAAGCCACTAAATCCTGGATGAGTTTCTCTGGTCAGAGACTTTAGTCCTCTGGTCCTGAAATGTTCTGCAGCTGCTAGAACAGTGGTTCTTAACCTTTTTTGAGGTACCGAACCCCCCAGTTTCATATGTGCATTCACCGAACCCCCCGACACAGACAATAATTTGCGGTATTCTGATTTATTAATGTAAATCAATGTAAATTAGTTGTATTTCCTCCCCCACGCCACTAGAGGCAGTACCAACCCCGAAAAGATGTGACTAAGGAGCAGATTTAGACTATAGAATTTAGTAAAAACTGTGAGCTTTACTGAAGTAATTAAAGACACAAGTTCAAATCCCTGCTGAGAGTGGAAATCTTTCCCGCAGCTCTGATTGGCTCAGCAAAGTAACGTGATCCTCTGCAGCAAGTGATGGCGAAGCGGGGCGTCATCACGACTTTACACAGTGCGTCTTTACCTCCGCGGCAGAGGCTCCACCGAACCCCTGAACCCAGGTTAGGAACCACTGTGCTAGAAGAACCACTGTGGAACCGGCTTTATGTGGCTCTGGAGGGTCAGGTCAGAGGTCAGCCTGATCTCTGGTATCCAGCTGGAAGAACTGAAGCTGACTCTAGATCTGCAATTCTAGATCTATAATTGTATATCCATAAGTCTAGGTCTATAAGTCTACATCGTTCATCTTTAGGTCCAAAGATGATAATTGCAGTTTTGACATGCCTGTCCTCCACCTGTCCTCCACCTGTCCTCCACCTGTCCTCCACCTGTCCTCAGTCCATCAGTACCTGCAGTTCTGCTCCACGTCCTCCACCGACCCGTCTGCAGTTTCATTCTACCAGAAATATAAAGTCCGACAGCGAGATCAAGACTCCGCCCACCAGCTGGATCACCTGACCACAGGCTCCGCCCCCTCTGTAGGTCCATTTCCTGCCCCTGCTTTACCACCAAAGAAGAAACAGCAGGTGAGGAAGAAGAAGCAGAACTCCAGGGTTCTGTTTGGGTTCTGTGTGCCGGGTCAGACCAGAACCACTTGGTTCTGATGAGAACATCAGCGGACCAGAACCTGAGCCTCAGGTTGACCTTAGCCCCTCATTCAGGGTCAGAGGTCAGAGCAAGCCTTCTGCAAGCAGAACCTCTGTAGAACCGGGCCTATGTTCTGCCATCGAAACAGTCTGTCTGTAACTGCTAGCATTAGCATTAGCATGCTGACCTCTCAGCTCGGATGTTCGTCATATTTCTCATCAGGCTCTGGCATTTCAAGATGGCTGCCGTTTTTGAGCCAGTTATTGCCATGAAATGTTCCCCATTTTCATGAACTTTCTGTCCCTTCAGACGTTTTCAGCTTCACTCCTGTTCATAAACTTTAAAGTCATAAAATGCAGAAGAACCAGAACCTGCCAGAATCTGAGGACGTTGCTGTTAGCGGGCCTCAGACCACTCGTCAGCTAAAATGAGATCCAGATGAGAGACTTGGTGACAGTCATCATATTTGATAGCATTAGCTTCTGCCAATTTTTTAATGCAGTTTAGCATTAGCTTCTACTACTTCAGTTTAGCGATGAGATTCTTGTTTAGTGAATTACAGCCATCCCTCGTTTTTCTTGGGGGTTGCGTTCCGAAAATAACCCGCGATTAGTGAAATCTGTGAAGTAGTTACTTTTATTTTTTACGATTATTACACAGCATAAATAAATACTCCAAATTGAAACCAAAGAACAAAACCTGTTTCCAGCTCAGCGGATGTTCATCAATCGGGCCTTAATGTGATCAGGAGTCGTGTCATTAAAGCGTCTCCTCCAAGCCGCCCTGTGAGATTCACAGCTGGATCTACGGCAGAGCGACGGATCTGAGCCTCCGGTCGGGTTCTGCTGCCTCTGGCCAGTTTTATCCATCAGGCATTCAAAGTTTTCAGCTTTCATCTCCTGAATGGCCAATCTGTATTACTTACATTTAAATACGGTGTTGGCACACAGGTAGAGAAGAACCGCAGAGACTGTTTAGCCAATCAGGACGCAGAACACAATGCACTGTGAAAAAAACTGCACAAAAAAATAATACACGAAAAAAATAATTCCTGAAGCGGGAAAAGAAGCTAACTTTTTGGTTAGCTGTGCCCACCACTGGCAACAGTAACTGCTGCTGATTTTGGTGCAAACACACATTCTGGCAGCCATTTTGAAAAGTGTCCAACAGAGAAAGGAAACGCAAGATCTAGACAATACGAATGATTTCTATGGTTCACCATATGCACCTATAATTTCACACCATAAGCATCCAACTGGGATAAGCGCTGGCAAATTTAGTGCAGAAATGGACTGTGCGGCCATCTTGAAAAATGTCTGCCACAGGTCATAATGAGTGGATGTGAGAGATTTTACTGAAATGTTCAATGATCTGCTGCTTTGTCATCAGAGCTTCTCCAGGTGTAATTTCATTCCTGTGATTTTTTGTTTTTCATATTCAGGACACACAGTCTGACAACGAGGACAGGTGAGGCACACACCTACACACACACCTGTCTTTTAGACACACACACACCTGTGCAGACTCTCAGCCTCACTGCTCTGCAGTTCTGTGGACCACCAGCAGGGGTCAGAGTTCAGCCAGAGAAACGGAGAGGAAGATGAAGAAGACGAGCTCCTATTGGCTGACCCAAACGAGATCCGTCACAGAATCACTCTGAAGTCTGAGGTTTGGCCCCGCCCCTTCTGCTGTGGTCACAAGTCTCACCTGTGCTCTAATCCCGCCCCTCTGCCCTCAGGAGGAGGAGGGGCCAGACGTGAAGGCTGCGTCTCCTGAGATCCTATTGGTCCAAGCCACACAGCCCGGCAGCAGCGGTACGTCTGCCAGCCAATCACACAAGGCCACCTGTCTCTGCAGGGGGAGGGGGAGGGGGGTGGGATTCAGGTGAACAGGAACCCAACAGGAACCAACAGACCTCCCTGGTGAGGCTGACCCGACCAGTATCAGAGGACAGCTGAGGTTCTGTAGAACAGAACCGGACTGGACCTGATGGTGTCCTGTTTGGGTTTTTACAGAACAGAACCAGTACCAGGAGGCCTTTCTCTGCACCTACCGGGGCTTCGCCACGCCCAGTGATGTCATCAGCAAGCTGCAGCGCAGATATCCTTAAACACCCGAGGGACACCTCGGTCCTTCCAGCCGGGTCAGAACCACGGTCCGGGTCAGTCATGTCCTTAACCAGCAACACGTACAGAATCCTGAGGGAAGGCGGCGCCGCCGACCTGACGGCCGCCAGGAACTCCATCCAGCTGCTGGTCAGAGTGGTGGCTGGGCTCAGGTGAGACGGCCGGGCCCAACCGGACCTCTGGTTCTGGTGTGGAACCGGACCTCTGGTTCTGATCCCTCGGCTCTCTCTCGCTGTAGTTCTGTGGAGCTGGAACCTGATTTGCTGCTGCTGCTGTCTGACCTGGTGTTCTGCCTTCTGATTGGTGGAGAGCTGGGCATGGCCCGCCTCCTGCACGCCAACATCCTGTCCAAGATGGAGGAGAGGTGGAAGCTGATTGGCTCCCCTCAGTCGCTCCGCCCCCTCGCAGCTAAAGGCGTAGCTGCCAGGTAGCCCCGCCCACCCGACTGCACTAGACGGCCCACGATGCGCTCTGATTGGTAGCTGTCTCACCTGTGTGTTTCACCTGGCAGGCCAGGAACTCTGCTGGACTTCAGGAGTCAGGACCTGGCTGAACAGCTCACCCTGCTGGACTCGGACCTGTTCTGCAAGATCCAGGTGCTCACCTGTCTGTCTCACCTGTCTGTCTCACCTGTCCCTCTCACCTGTCTGTCCCTCTCACCTGTCTCTCACCTGTCTGTCTCTCACCTGTCTCTCACCTGCCTGTCTCTCTCCACTCTGTCTCTCACCTGTCTCTCACCTGTCTGTCTCTCACCTGCCTGTCTCTCTCCACTCTGTCTCTCACCTGTCTCTCCCCTGTCTGTCTCTCACCTGCCTGTCTCTCACCTGCCTGTCTCTCTCCACTCTGTCTCTCACCTGTCTGTCTCTCACCTGCCTGTCTCTCACCTGCCTGTCTCTCTCCACTCTGTCTCTCACCTGTCTGTCTCTCACCTGCCTGTCTCTCACCTGCCTGTCTCTCTCCACTCTGTCTCTCAC